CGTGACGTGATCTTGGAGCTGATCAGCTAACGTCACATTGCGCCCAGGGCTCTCAGTCATGTTGGAGACTCTGAGGGGTGTGGGAGTGGAGGACGCCAAACCCCACATCACCATCAGATGGCACCAGGAGCGCTAGGAGGATGGGGCACGTATGAGGTGCAGCTGGGGCTGAGGCTGCAGGAACTCGAGCTGCACAGGCCGGGGGGGGGGCTTGCCTGTGAGCTTCAACAAGAAAGGGAGCGCAGAGGAACGCCTCTCCAGCGACTCATGGTGGCAGGACATTCGTGTGACGAGGGCCACGTCCCTCCTGCCATCCACCTTGCAGACATTCCCAGGGAGGGGACAGGACAAAGGAAGGATGGAGCGGGCTGGAGAGGAGGCCAGGAGGGGGCCAGGAAGGATGAGCGGTGGAGGTGACAGGTGTGGCCCAGGAGAGGGCCCAACTAAAGAGGTAACTCACGTGGTGTGTGGGTGAGGACAGGCCAAGGGAGCAGGCTGCTCTCTGGGCCACAGGACGGACATGCTAACGAGAGAGATCTCAGTGAGAGACAGACATGTGGGGCCAACAGCAAAGACATGGCAGAGGGACACTAATGTCACTGATGTCACCACAACTCAGACAGACAGGTGCATGGACACACCAGTCTCCAGAAAAAGTCAGGGAGTAGTCATCTGCCTCAGGGGTTGGGTGGCCCATCCGACCCCAGGCACTGTGGGGGCAGTGAGCCCTTAGGCTAAGCTCTGGGCAGAGAGGGGGCCCACCCAGCCAGAGTGGAGCCATGTGGGCCGATGGACGGACTGGGGCGGGTGAGGGGGAGGTCTGAAGGGTGGGCATGCGCATCACTGGGACCGAGCCAGGACTGCAGAATGTTCTAAGGACTGGCCTGGGGACACGCCAGGGCCCTGGGGACAGAGCCCTCCCCTATCTCAGACATCGCAGTGGCAGCAGGAGCACTGCCCACTCCTAGCCGGGACTCTGGCATGGCTGCCAGCCGGGGGATTTCCCAGGACGACTCAGCTATCGGGCCCCAGGAGGCAGTGGTGCCTGTGCCCGTCAGCCTGAGCCCCTTTCCCTCTGCAGGCAGACCCACCATCAGGACCAAAGTGCCCTCGCCCGAGCGCGGGTGAGGCAGGCGCCACAGCCTTGCTGCAGCAGCACTTTCTGTCTGGCTCCACGGCCACGAGGGCAGATGCGTGAGTGAGTCTCAGCCCTGGTTATTTATTCTGGCCGCTCGGGAGGCAGCCTGCTGAGTTGGCACCTATGCTGACCATGGTGAGGCAGGGCAGGCACTGTCCTCCAGCAGGGCCGGGCATGGCAGGAGCTGCCAGACATCTAGGCCAGGCCCCAGGGGCCAGGCCCAGGCACTTTTAGGCCCCAGCTCTCTCCACCTTCCCACACTCTTCAGGTAGGCCTGGGCCAGGTCAGAGCATGCCCAGTACCCACCGGGCCCAGAGGTCATTAACAGTTGGGGAGAAGGGCAGGGCAGGAGGGGCTTTCTCAGCTGGGGTTGGGGATAGGGAGGCATTGCTTACCTGCCCTGAATCTCAACGCACATAAAAGCCCAGGAGGCCTGGAGGCAGGCTCTGTGCATGTATGTGCACGTGGAAACATGCATTTGCACAGACAGGTGCACCCCGAGTCATGCACACAGCTGGATAACCTGAATTCCTGAACACTCAAACCCCAGCCCCCTCCCAGAACGGTCACGGTGGGTGCTGACTGCCCAGCTAAGATGCTCACACTCTTCAGACC